TGCTGCACTATTGTGGCATGTTCTTTCTTGATTATAACAGTTCCATTTTGAACCTTAGAGGAAGTAATTGAGTTTTGTCTAAAAAAATATATGTTGCAAACACTTAAAACATTTCCACAAATTGGTGTCAGCCAGTAATTTTTTTTAAACACCAAGAATAGACATGGCTCGCAGAGAGGCCAGCTTATAAGTGTGACATTAATGCTATAAAAGTTAAAGCGCAGAGAAGATGAGATAAAATTATACTTAAAGAGTTATTGGGGCTTATTTAAATGGGAAGTAACAAATCTTTTGAGGCCACTTGTATCCTATACCTTAGTTCGTAAGGAATATTGAGAGAGTCATGGTCAAATAAAAGAATAAAATATTCCAATATAACTTTTTTTTTTTCTTGAAAAGTAAAGCAAACAAATGTGCTGATTTACATTTCATCTCCTTTTCCTTAGTCTGTCCATGTGAATGTGCTGTGTGGAAGAGTTAAAGGGCCCAACTAAATGTTCCAGTCATTCCAATAGGTATTCCAAATTAATTGCTGCTTGTACATTGTATAATGGTTATGTTAGGCTTCCAGAATCACTTTAAATAGGACCCTATTTTTTAAGATGGGGGAAAAGAGTAATTGGTAACCAGATAGAGTATAACAGAAAAAAAGGTGTTTTATCCTGCATGTCTTAAGTAAAGTGTGCATTTTGTGTGTTCTTAGCAATTGGCAGTCTTCTTGATTAGGTGTATACAGGTGTACATGCAAATAGACCTGAGTCCTATCAAAGTTATTTTTCTGATTTTATCTGTTTAACTTTTGGCAATACATTTATTTTGATACCCACCCTACTTGGAAGAGTGTAAGTACTTCCTTACAACGTTCTGCTGTAAAATGGTGCTCAGGAGACTTCTGTCCTTGGTTGTGCAAAGCAAATTCACAAATACTAGAAATGGTTTTACTAGCTTATGAAAATTTGGAAAATAGATTGACATCTTTTTCGAGAATGCAGTGATAAGTTTGTATATTGAAGTATATAAAATCAACTAGGAAGTAAATTCAAGACCGAAGGAATGTGAGGGCTTCTGTGAGCTTTGGTTGTGTCAGTCCAGAACATGTAATTTTCCATTTCCCTGAAAAAGACTTCAGAGGACATTTATTTTCCCGACTATGCACTCCAGGATGTCTTTAGGTGAAATGCGAGGGCTTGGGCTGATTCCGAATGTAGCTGTCAGAGTTTGCTTAATGAAATGCGGATCTACTCACAAAAGCAATTTATTAGTTTCTGAAGAGTAGGCAACTTGTGGTTTCATAACCATTTCTGTACATTTGAGAAAAATCGTAAATCTACAGAAGAGGAAATACTCATTTCAAAAATAAGCTTTGAATTTAGTTGCTAAGGCATATATGTTTTATTTCACATGACTTCATGGTATCAGTGAAGAAACATTTCTGTGGAAACTTAGTGTTTAAGAAGCTAATATATGCAGAGATTGATTACTTTGATATCATCTGAGGGTATGCCATATAATAAATAGGTGGTTGACAACATACAGGACTTAATTCTTAGAAGAATCAAGAACAGATAACCAAAATGAACAATAGAAACCTCTCAAAATTAGTATTTGCCTGTTAATCAGTGTAGCCTTCTCAGCATAAAAGTACTTAAATGTCCTTATTCTAGAAAAATGGAAGTGTAGGACAAATGCAATGGTTGAAAGCACTGAAAAAACGTGTAAAACATCTGTAGTGCTCACGTAAACTTTAATACTTTGAAAACTATCTTCATGATTTTTTTTGTTTTAATGGCTTCCTTTTTAAGAAAACATTTTTAAAATGTTTAAAGATGGAACTTAATGTGTAAAATAAGTTGTGTAAAATGCCAGTATTTGTGTGGTAGAGGATATTGGTATACTATATTGGCCTGGCTTGAAGACTACTGGACTGTTTTAAGATACTTACTTCCAAAACTTATTTTATTCTAGAGGACCACTAAAAACCAGAATTACAGCAATCATTTTAATTTTCTACTTTCCTTGTTAAGGTCTTCTGCTTACCCAAAGAATAGTGTATATCTTTACATGACTTTTAAAGGGGTGTCTTGATCCCCATCACAGATTTTTATCTAGGAATAGAAGGATTCAAACCCTATTTGATCCCTAGCTCTTTGCTGAAAAGTGCATAAACAGGAATCCTGAATTTATTATGTAGACCTCCTCGCATTATGTAATCGAAGCAAAGGGAAACCAGCGATGGAGTAGAGGTACGTAGACTAAACAGATGCTTGCAAATCAAATGATGCTACGTAGGGATAGTCACGTTTTCCTGTTGCCAAACTTAGTCAACAGAAATCACAAGCCCAGAGAAGAGCTTCCCCGAGGCCCTTTTACTGAGATGGAAAAGCACAAGTAGTCAAGGAAAACCAAAGAGGGAGGGCAAGGGAAGGGGGAAGTGCATAAAGCACTTGTTTTTAAAAGTAGGTATGATAGATAACCCACAAGAAGTTTTTAAGACGACTAATAACCATAATTCTATTTTAATCAGCTATTTAGCTGGTACCTACTGCTATATCACCTAGTGTGACATTTTGGAATTAATGGAACAATGAAGGAAGCTGTACGCTGAAGGTTCCAAGTGGTCATGGAAGGTAGGTTACTCTCACAGTTTGAAATTAGAAGGTGTGAAAGTATAGATGAGAAGGGAAGGGGAACCTGGACTATCTTAGCGAACATTTGGTAATTTGGTCTTGCATTTATTGACTATTTTGTGCCAGATACTTGGATGAGAATGTAAAGATAAAAATGGCCAAGGTTTTTTGCCAACGAGACACTTAGGTTGTATGTGATTGTACCAGACACTGGTGACCGAGAGAAGTGCCAAATACTGTAACAGATAAGACAGAAAATAGTGAGAACTTAAAAGGTGATTGTAATTCTCAGAGGCTACTGAGCAAAAGAATGGAAAGTTATGGAGAGGAGGTAAAAAGGCATTCCAAGCGAATGAAGTTTGAGTGTTGGCATGGATATGGTATAAAGGTCACAGTGTATTGAAGGTTTGGCAAAGAAACTAAATACAGTTGGGATGTCAAGTTGGATAGTAGGGTAGAAATTTATTGGGAGAGACTGGAACTGTCTTAACAGTCTCCTTATTGAGGGTGGGTGTTACAGACTTTAGTAAATTTATTAATACACTTTGTAAAACCTTAATAGCACAAGAATAAAAATTATTAGTGATCATGTAAATACCTGAAACATTTATAATCCAACCAAGTATGTTACAACTTTGTTTTTATCCAGGTTTCCAGTTTATGCAAACTTCTACTGTGAAAATGAGCTAACCTTGTTATTGGTGAAGGCATTGGAAATTTTGCCAGCCAAGAGAGCTGCTCTCTTATTCAGGGTAAGATGTCACTGCAGTGTGCTAGCATTGGAAGGGACCTGTTATACATGTTACATATATTACACATCAGCCCTCCATGTCCTCCAGTTCCGCATCCTTGGATTCAACCGTGGGTTGAAAATACTGGAGGTAAAAAGCCAAAAAATAACACTGTAACTTAAATAGAAGTTTAAGAACACATGGTATAATAACTATATTTACATAGCATTTATTTTGTAGTAGGCATTGTAAGCAATCTAGAGATGATTTAAAGTATATGGGAGAATGTATATAGATTTTTTTTCTTTTGAGACGGAGTCTCACTCTGTTGCCCAAGCTGGAGTGCAATGGTGTGATCTCTGCTCACTGCAACCTCCGACCCCCAGGTTCAAGAGACTCTTGTGTCTCAGCCTCCCAAGTAGCTGGGACTATAGGCATACACCACCATGGCGAAACCCTGTCTCATAAAATTTTTGTATTTTTAGAAGGGTTTTGCCATATTGGCCAGGCTAGTCTTGAACTCCTGACCTCAGGTGATCCACCTGCCTCGGACTCCCAAAGTGTTGGGATTACAGGTGTCAGCCACTAGGCCCAGTGGAATTTTTTAACAGTTACTTGGTTATGACCAATCTGGAAAATGTAGACTGCATGCAACTTTGCTTTGTGCCACTAGGAGTGGGCAAACTGTCTTTTACTTTTTGTAAATCAGTAAAACTTTTCCCTCGATGTGTGTTTGACAGTGTCATTCACTGCTAAGTTAGGGCATTTGGTAAACCACACAGCCTCTGCGTCATCCTTCTAGCGACAGCTGCAAGAAAAGGTGGGCATGGGAGGGAAAATGCTCTTGTGAATTGAACTGGAGCAAGCTCCACTTTTCTTTAGAAAAAGACACAGATCAAAATAATATTTTTTTCCTTGCTGTTTCTGACTTCCATGATACATCAAAGTAATAGGACCAGTAATGGCCACAATCCTGTTGACTGCAGGTATCTTCCAATATTTCTTGTAAGCATTTCTTAAGGCTCTAGCTTGTGTTTTGTTATTAATAGATTTTTTTTAAAGTACTGTACTGATTAAAACCAGAAATAACTTCATTTTCCTAGAAAGGGAGAATTTCTCCTGGATGAATAAATACTGAGGATTTAGTTGGATGCTGTGGCTATTATTTTAAGTAATATTTTAATGGGAGCAGCTAATTGACTTTCAAATAGATTGTTTAAATTAATAAGTAATTCTGCAATTCTTTTTCTATTGCATCAGTCTCCCAAACAAATCCCACGTGCATATTTAAATTCAGAACTAAACTAATTATACTTAAAAATAAAAACCCTGCAAAAAATGTTGAGGGCATTTAAAAACAACTCTTTTGGAAGATGACTCAAATTCTAAGAAATGAGAAAACACTGTCAAATGATGGATGCATTTAAAAAGTGATTTGCAAAGTGATAAAATCCCTTAGTTTTAAATCTTGTAATGACATTAGCTGCTACAAGAAGCCAGTAAGTATTTACTTGCTTTTAATGGGATCCTAGTAAGGTTGAGGTTTTTGTTAAGGGAAGTTTACTTATCATTAAACTCTAAACTTATTACAAGGAAACTCTTTCCAAGTACATTAAACACTAGGGCCTTTTTTTTTTTTTTTACACTACGTTTTTATTGGCCCCACTGCCAATAGATTCTGTTCACGTTTTAAGTATGAGAAGTCCACTATATGTAAGATGTGATAGTCCTACACTGGCAGTAGATACAGGGCCAGAATTAATCGCCAAGCTTTCATTCCATACAAGGGTGGGAAGAAAATGACTGCAACTTAAACAAACTTTATTTACTTGATTGAGAGCTTATTGTACATGAACTGTTTTATGTGGTTGATCTTAGCTGCATTCACATTGACTTCAGGGAGTCTGGTTTTCTATGCTCAAGGTTGTTCAATTGCTGCTGTTACGGTTGTTTTGTTTTCTTTCAGGATCGAGGTGGGTACCTTCATATAATAACTTATTTTTCATTCCTTGTCTGGTAATTCTTTGCTGGATTTTTTGCTTTGCATAATTATACCTACAATGAAACCTTGGAAGAAAAGAATATGAAAAAATTATTAATACAAAGTCCTACAGAAATTAATTTATGGAATTTCTCTATAAATCACAGAAAACGTAAATACTTAACAGATGACTACCCTGAGACTGAAAAACATGAATGTTCTAATTTGGAGTGCTATTTATTGTTGGACAGTTTTGGTGTTAGAATACCTATCAACACATTCTTTTATGAAACAGAAGGATATCTACATAACAATTTGTAAAGTGATAAAATCCATTAGGTTTTTCTTTTTTTTAATGCGGACAGGCGGTGGCTCATCTTGAGGTAGATTGCCCGCCCACTCTCAAGATCCAATTAGTTTGGCCGGGCGCGGTGGCTCAAGCCTGTAATCCCAGCACTTTGGGAGGCCGAGGCGGGTGGATCACGAGGTCAAGAGATCAAGACCATCTTGGCCAACATGGTGAAACCCCGTCTCTATTAAAAAATACAAAAATTAGCTGGGTGTGGTGGTGCCCGCCTGTAGTCCCAGCTACTCGGGAGGCTGAGGCAGGAGAATTGCTTGAACCTGGGAGGTGGAAATTGCAGTGAGCCAAGATGGTGCCATTGCACTCCAGCCTGGTACCTGGAGACAGAGCAAGACTCTGTCTCAAAAAAAAAAAAATCAGTCTTCTGATGGCATTGGTTATTGCAAGAAACCAGTAAGTATCTGCTGTATGCTATGTCTACATAAAATGATTTCTGTCACCTTAAATAGATCACTCTAGAACTTCATGTATAAAGGAACCACATTGTATGTGTATATACTATAAGGTCTGGCAAATATTTGAGATTCATCCACATTTTATATTCACTCATCAATAGTTGTAAACACATTCTTATGTGAAGTGTAGATACCACAGCTTTCATTTTAATGGGATGTCTAATATCATGCATTTATCTGTTCAAGCATTTTAAGACAGATTTCCATGAAAATGTCCTTAAAAATCAAGATTCATTCTTCAATGAGGGTGAGAATCTCCCAATGGGAGATTGCTCTGAAAAGAGTGTGTGCTTTTTAAATTAGATAACATATTATCATCATGGATGTTCTTGAATACTTAGCAAACATACCAGCATCCCAAAGTCACCAAGATAAATCCTCCTACTCCAACATCACATGATCTTCTAATTCTACCTGTCAAAAATAAGCATAACCACTATAATCAATTAGAATTACATTTTATATACGTTAGTTACTCCATCTAGAAAAAAATAGCTAATCACATAAATGCCTTTTTAATACACAGAGAAATAAAAAAGCACAGATACTCACTAGTTAACAAAAAATGTCCAAAGCCAGCCACAACAGATCCTAATGAACCATACAGTACTGAATCCCGGGCGCAGGGAATATTTTCAACATCTAAAATTCCTAGGAGCTTAAAAGGCTAGAATAAAAAAAAACAAAACCCTAGATTGAGTAAGAAAGTCATTTTATTTTAGGGTGGTTTGACAAAAGTTACACCATTTCTTTTGTTTAACTACACCATGTGACAACCTAAATCAGCTTGCATTGTATCTGTCCAGCTTTGGTATGCCGTCTGAATCTCTTAAATCCGAAAACCTTAAAAATTGGCCCAGAAAACCCTAAGCAATAGGGTAACATTGAGCTATATCTTAATTTGCTAACCACTTGACTTGGAAATAGGAAACATTTTATTTTATGAGCTCTTTAAATGAGTTTATTTAGGAATATGGCTATTACTGAAATTGGAAGCAGCACAGTTTGCTTCAATAACTCCCAATAATTTGGGAAGCAGAAACGGGAAAATAATTCATATTTGCTTACGTAGTGCTGTTTAAAATTTACCCAATAATTGCCTTTCAGGTTTTATTAATATTAACTAGGCTAACATCAACTGTGGTTGTAATAAATATTTCATTTTAAGATAAACATGGGCAATATGTTCAGCTCTTCTAGTCTGTTTTCTTGCCTGTGAAGTTAGGTTGCACTTGATTATATTTGATTCTTTGTTCATAATACATGGTAATGACAGCTAGGTATGGCAAAAAACCTGGGAATCCAGAGAGCTGGATTTTTGTCTCAGATCTGCCACTAACTTTTGTATTCTATAGGTTATTTTAATCTCCATGGTCTCAATCTGTAAAACGAACGGGTTGGTTTAGATGATGAAGTTCCTTTAAGTGCTAAAATGACTTCTTTTTCTACAGTCTGGGTTGGATTTATGTATTTCTTTTTCCCCAATATGTTTAACTGAGATGTCTTAGCGGCGAGACAGACATTTAAAAGTTAACAGTCACACTGTTGAACTGGCATTTGTTAACACAAAAGTTTAGAAAACTCATAACTGTTTTCTAAAGTGTATATAAAGTTATCAGTAAGACAGCTTTTAAAAGGAACCACTGTCCATTTAAAGGTTGCATAGTATTGTTTGGGGCAGGACATTAAATTAGAAGAGGATTCTGTAGGATGAGGTGATACCTAGAAAAGAAATGGGGAAAGGACAGTAAAAGGCAAGTCAGATTAAAGGTTAAAACATGAAGATACTCTCAATTGTATTTCTGCCTATGTTTGCTTCTTTGGCTGAAGCATCTGCTGGAAGAAAAAAAATGTGATTTGGTTCATAATAAAGTAAAAAATATTTGCTCTCTTGGATCATTCTATGTCATTTTTTTCTTTTTCCCCTCTCCCTATCTGGCTCCCTGCCCCCACCTGCATGCCTAACATAGGGTTGCTTACCAAGAGGTTGGGGGATTTCATTTAGCAAAAAGACTTTCTCCTATCGGCTTGAAAGCGCAGGGGACACATGATCATGGGGACAGAGGTATGCAGATGGGGAATGCTAGACTTTGCGCTCCAGTCCAGGGCTATAGCTCTAAACTATTTCCCCAAGGACTGGATGCTGGGGCCAGAGGGTTAGTAACAGTTTTATCTAGTCTTAGGTGCAAAGATGCAAGTGTGAGATCAGCTTCTACCACAAGAGTAGAACGAAGTATTTTTTTTTTTTTTTTTTTTGAGAGAGTTCTGTAGTGTCCGCTTCCTGGTTCAAGCAATAATTCTCCTGCCTTAGCCTCCCGAGTAGCTGGGACTACAGGCGCACACCACCACACCCAGCTAATTTAGTAGAGACAGGGTTTCACTATGTTGGTCTCGATCTCTTGACCTCGTGATCGCCCGCCTCGGCCTCCCAAAGTGCTGGGATTCCAGGTGTGAGCCACAGTACCCAGCCTAGAACTGAAGTATTTTCTAGTCCTACTCTCAGATTCTGATCAGATCCATGATGGACCATGGGATTTTTTTTTCTGGACTATTAGATTGGGAAAACACTGATTTAGAAAATTTTAATTTTAACAAAAGCAAACTTGCAAACAATAGAATATCTAAAATTGTGCCTTCTAAGACAAAGCCAACCCCCAGCAAAACTATCTGGTCTAGAATAACAGTGGCTGATCTCATAATAAGAGCTGCTGGTTGGCAGGGGCGGTATTCGTGCCAGGCCCTCTATATGTTTTGTGATTTTCCAGCCTCTGTCAGATTACCTCTGAAACACTTAAGACACTAATAAGTGTTGACAGGAGTGGAGGCAGAAAAGTCAGCTCTGACCCCAAAAGCCTATGAGATCCATTGTGCCAAACCACATCATTAAGAAATAACCAAGTCTGGAGGGTTTCAGGGGAGCTTTCCAGTTGTCACATATCTAAGGAGGAATACTACTAAGTCAGCAAATACATGCAATTTTTATCAAAACTGGGGAAGAATATACAAAGACTTATTTTAAGATGGCAATTTTCCCTTTTATAGACAATCTTCAGCCTCCTGGTAGAGTTGGAGGTTAGACTACTAGTGACTTGAAGCGTGTTTACCTTTATGGTTAAGTACACTGAGCTGTCAGATGCTCGGAAGTGGAGATGAATGAAGGATCCCAGGCATAACTTACTTTGAAGTACTCTGTTTATATACAGAAATATTCTGTCCATAATATGCATGCCTTTAACATTTCTATCCCTTAAATAGCCTGCAAACTAACTCTCGCCACTAACAAATGTTAGATATTTTTAAAGCTTAGATTTAGAAAAGCAGCTTTACCAACTCACCTTGATGGATCTAAGGAAAGCTCAAGAGATTTTCAAGCCAGAATGTCAATAATGGATAGAAATAGATCTCACCAAATGATAGCCAGTTGATCTTCCACCACTAAATCTGCTTCAGGGCCTGGATCTGCCTTTCCTCTGGTTGCAAAGGATGAATCGACCCTACTCCCTATCTAAAACTTGAAGGGAGCACAGGCAGGAAGACCAGTTAGGAGGTCAAACAGGTAAGGGCCGGGCGTGGTGGCTCACGCCTGTAATCCCAGCATTTTTGGAAGGCTGAGGTGGGTGGATCACCTGAGGTTAGTAGTTCAAGACCAGCCTGGCCAACATGGCAAAATCCTGTCTCTACTAAAAGTACGAAAATTAGCCAGGCATGGTTGCATATGCCTGTAATGCCAGCTACTTGGGAGGCTAAGGCAGAATCACTTAAGCCCAGGAAGTGGAGGTTGCAGTGAGCAGGGATTGCACCACTGCACTCCAGCCTGGGCACCCGCTCTCACACACAAAACCCTCTGTATACCTGTCTCCCCTGACCGGCCTCCTAAACTACCATCCAGTTTTCTGCTGCCTTTCATAGCAAAACTTGAATCTAGGTGTGCTTTTCTACTTAAAACCTCCCATTCACCCTTTAACTCGCTCTAGTGAGGCATCTATCCACTGAACGCCACTTGACACCACAATCAAGATCTCTGAAAGACATCCACTTTGCAGTCTGTCTTACTCTGCATCTCAGCATATGTGGCACAACTATCATTTGTTTTTGGAGCTATTTTTACTTGGCTTCAAATACAATGTCTCGTGGTTTTCTATTTCACTGAATTTTTTGTTGCTGTTCCGTCTTCTACAGTGCTGATTTTGAAGTGCCACTCTTAACCTCTTATAGAATCTAGTCTCTTCCTAAGTATCTCAAGGCTTTCAGTTAAATGCTATTAGATGATGCCTCCAGATTTCTAGATCAAACTCTAATCTATCCCAACTTCAGCCTCATTCATCTTAGCTTATTGAACCACACTTTTTTTTTTTTTTTTTTTAAATATTGTCATCCTTGTGCAGGGGCCATGCTAATCTTCTGTGTCATTCCAATTTTAGTATATGTGCTGCCGCAGCGAGAACGGAACCACGCTTTTATGTATAAAAAGCACCTTGTACCTAGTATTTGCAAAATAAATTTCACCTCCAAACCTGCCTCTTAATGGCACACTACTCAACCCATTTTCAGACCCAAAACCTGAGTCATCCTAGATTCCTTCACCAAATCCATGTTCAATACATTAGCAAGTCTGGAAGGATCTGCATTTAGAATACATCCTGAACCAAACCACTGCCCACCAACTTCACTGCCAATACAGGGTGAGCATCCCAAATCCGAAATAATCCAAAATCTACAACTTTTTGAGCACTGATATGACACCAAAAGAAAATGCCTTTTTTTTACTTGGGAAGCTCAATCTGTACTATCAAATGACCATCTATCAACAGTGCCTGTTAGATCTTGATTTTATTCATAAAAATGTGTATCAGATGACTATAATAAACCCACCGTGGCTTTCAATTATGCTTAGATTCTTTTTTTTTTTTTTTTTGGAGCTGGAGTCTCTGTCGCCAGGCTGGAGTGCAGTGGTGCGATCTTGGCTCACTGCAACCTGTGCCTCCTGGGTTCAAGTGATTCTCATGCCTCAGCCTCCCAAGTAGCTGGGATTACAGGTATGCACCACCACATACAGCTAATTTTTGTTTTTTTTTTAGTAGAGATGGGGTTGCACCAGGTTGGCCAGGATGGTCTCAATCTCCCGACCTTGTGATCCGCCTGCCTCAGCCTCCCTGTGTTGGGATTACAGGTGTGAGCCACCTCACTCGGCATGCTCAGATTCTTACCATTGCTCCAAAGGCCCCACATGATCCTGTGCTTTTTCAGCTCCCACTCTAGTCCAGGCACAGTGGCCTTGCAAGTGTCCTCTAGCAAGCCGAGATGAACACATGCCGTCTTTCTCCTGGATCTTGGCATGGTTGGCTCAGTAAACAAGTCTTGCTTATTGATTCCCCAGTAGAAACGTCAGCTCCTTAAAGGGATTTTTCCTGTCTTGATGAGTCTAGTACCTAGTTTAGTGCCTAATACTCAGTAGATACTCTGTAAATATATTTGAATGGGTGAATTAAGAATTTACCTGAATGTGAATTTACCTGTATGTACCAAATTTCACATTTTAAAGTTTCTTGAAGGACAAGTATGTGGCAGAGGATGGTTTTCAGGGGCTAGTTCTATTAAGGTATGCCAGCTTGGTAATTTGCATTTTTACTTTAGGTTTACTGACTCTTTTTTTTTTTTTTGAGACGGAGTTTCACTCACGTTACCCAGGCTGGAGTGCAATGGCGTGATCTCGGCTCACCGCAACCTCCGCCTCCTGTGTTCAGGCAATTCTCCTGCCTCAGCCTCCTGAGTAGCTGGGATTACAGGCACATGCCACCATGCCCAGCTAATTTTTTTGTATTTTTAGTAGAGACGGGGTTTCGCCATGTTGACCAGGATGGTCTCGATCTCTTGACCTCGTGATCCACCTGCCTCGGCCTCCCAAAGTGCCGGGATTACAGGCTTGAGCCACCGCACCCGGCTACTAACTCTTAAAATAATCCTTCTCCCTGAGTTGTGCTGGAATGATCACTGACAGATTTTTTTTTTTTTTTGAGATGGAGTCTCCCTCTGACACCCCGGCTGGAGTGCAATGGGGAGATCTCGGCTCACTGCAACCTCTGCCTTCACGGTTCGTGATTCTTCTGCCTCAGCCTCCCGAGTAGCTGAGGCTATAGGCACGCACCATCATGCCCAGCTAATTTTTGTATTTTTAGTAGAGACAGGGTTTCACCATGTTGGCCAGGATGGTCTCCATCTCTTGACCTTGTGATTTGCCCACCTCGGTCTCCCAAAGTGCCTGGATTACAGGCATGAACCCCTGCGCCCGGCCCAAAATTCTTTTTTAAAACATCACGACAGGCTTCCTTTCCGCCATTACCTTGGGCTGTTAATTAGTCATAGCTTATATTAATTTAATTAGCTTTTTGATGAGCTCTGATAGGTACTGCTGTTTCATGAGCAATTTCTTTTGGCTTCCCACATCTATGCTGTTTTGAGGCTTATAATTATTCTTCATTTCTACAACTACAATATTGTTTTGCTGTGTACTGATGAGCCAATTAAATAGGTCAATGTTGATCTTTTTTTTTTTTCCATTAAGTTCTTTTTAAAAAATTTCCAATGGATTAAACCACCTTTATGACCTTTAAAAACAGCTGTTATCTCCTATCCAAAAGTCCCATTCAAGAGTCCAGTGTTTATCACAAAGCTGGATCTAGGATTTACTACGTGTAGTTATGGTACACCATGAACTAAAAAGTTTCAAACAAGGATTTTTTTTTTTTTTTTTTTTTTTGGGGGGGGTTTTGTTTTTGTTGCCCAGGCCCAATCTCAGCTCCCCCCAACCTCCACCTCCCGGGTTCAAGCAATTCTCTTGCTTTGGCCTCCCAAGTAGCTGGGTTTACAGGCATGTGCCACCATGTTCGGCTAATTGTTTTGTATTTTTAGTAAAAACAGGGTTTCTCCATGTTGCTCAGGTTGGTCTCGAACTCCTAACCTCAGGTGATCCACCCACCTTGGCTTCCCAACAGGCATAAGCTACCACCGCGCCCGGCCATAAGGAGCCCTTTTTACAAAACAAACAAAAACACACTAAACTTATTCCAAATGGGCAGTGGATGGGACAGTAAAAACAGATGAGGCACCAGTAGTAGTATGTAACTTGGCAAAACTTTTTGATGTTAAATTATGAAAACAATTTATACAGTATTTGTTAATATTAACTATATGATCTTATGCTTTGGCCAAATTTAGATGGAACCCCACCAGAGAAGCCAGAGCAAGAAGTGAGAAAAATTTCCAAGCTGAGAGAATATTTTATATATCATTATCTGGAAAGTATATATTAGGAGCCATTTAGCACACAGTGGGTCTTCTATAAATATCTGCTCATGATTAGCCAATGTTACATCTCCATAATTTATACTAAAATACTTTTTTTCCTCTTGCATTATCCTTTCGTGAACACCTATTCTGCCCTGAGGATATAAATTGGGTTCCCTGCTCTTAATAAGGAGCCCAGGCAAAGACAAAGACAAGATCATTTATTACCTTCCAATATGATAAACGTAACGACGTACAAGATCCCTGGGAAGATGGGGAAAGCCCTTAAGTCATCTTTGGAGGAACAGGAGCCCTTCCAGGGAGAGCGTTTGGTTTAGCTTTACTATGCCAAGAATTTGGGTTTTATCCTTAAAGAGATAGGATGGGCTGCTGGAACTGGATGTTAGGCAGAGGGATCAAACTGTCCAGTTTACCGGTTGGAAAGGACCAGCGGACAATAGTGGAAGGTGGATTGAGGAGACGGCATCGAGACGGCCACCAGCTAGGGAGGCCGCTGGTGACGGGGGAGAAATCTCAACCCTTCAACGTAGTACACTCAAGTCATCCCTCAGCAATTACTGCTCCCTCTACGTTAAATGTGACGAATACAACTTTAAAGACAAGGCACCTGTCCTCAGGGACCTTTTTAGTCTCTACTACTAGCCTTTACTAGCAAATTACAGTGCAGTGCCCTTAGCAAAAAAATTTCTCGCCAAAAGATTCCGTACTGTTAGTTTATTTCATAGTGACTACTGCTGGTCCCCTTCTCCCTCTAGTTTTGGCCAATTTTGTTCCAGCAACTTAGATTAAAATGTTTAAAGTGAGCACCAGGAGCTCACCAATTGAGCTACGCGGCCTGTAATCCCAGCACTTTGGGAGGCCGAGGCGGGTGGATCACAAAGTCAAGAGATCGAGACCATCCTGGTCAACATGGTGAAACCCCGTCTCTACTAAAAAAAATACAAAACATTAGCTGGGCATGGTGGCGCGTGCCTGTAATCCCAGCTACTCAGGAGGCTGAGGCAGGAGAATTGCCTGAACCCGGGAGGCGGAGGTTGCGGTGAGCCGAGATCGCGCCATTGCACTCCAGCCTGGGTAACAAAAGTGAAACTCCGTCTCAAAAAAAAAAAAAAAAAAATGTCTAAAGTGTCCTATTAATAGGACTAGGAACAATTAAAATAGTTTCGAGCCCAAGGGTGGCAGAGAAGCCAGTGACACGTGCTCCGGGCCTAGGAGCCCCGCGGAGGCCGTCCTCACCCATCGCCCACCCCGTTCTCCCACCCGCGGCGCGCGCACCGGGGGCCACTGGGTTACCTTCCGCTTCGCGGGCTCGTCGGGCTCCGGCACGGCGGCCATTGGGACGACTCCGCGCCTCCACCAGCCCTGCGCGGCCTGTGCCCCCAGAACTGCCGGCCGGCCCGCGGCGCTCCTCCCCGTCCCGCGCCTGCGCGCCGCCGCCTCCCGCCCCGTCCCCGCGCGCCGCCGCCTCCCGCCCCGTCCCCGCGCGCCGCCGCCTCCCGCCCCGTCCCCACGCGCCGGCCGCCATTTTAGAGAACGTTCCTAACGCTCCGCAGTGGCTGCGCCGCGCCGGCGCTTAGGCTGGGAGGTCCTTTGTTCCATGGAACGGGTCACACTTTCTTCCCAGCTCGGCACACAGCCAGCAGGGCCGGGAGCGCAGAAGGAGAAGCGTTCGGGAAACAAGCCGGCTCCCTGATTCCTGGCAGGGCGGGGCGGAACCGAGCCAGACTGCTCCACTTCCCGCCCCAACCCCCCTCTCCGCCCCAACCGCCATTTCTAACCGTCTCCGGGGCGCGCGCGCGCTCACGTGCACGAGCACCGGGCGCGCGCCGAGGGGTGGGGCCGCGGCGGAGGGAGCGGGCGCGGCGCTGCTGCTTTGTCCCGCGGGGTGGGCCCCGCCGCGGCGGTCAGACCGGCCCCAGCCCGCCCTGGCGCCCCAGCCCGCCCCGGCCCACCGGCCCGGAAGTCGCTCCGCGCTGCTCGGCGGCCCTCGTCCCCTAAGTGTCCTTTGTCCTTCCGGCCACGGGACGAGCCCTTGGTGCCCAAGCGGCCCCACTCCGCCCCTGCAGCCGTTTAGTCCCCAGTGCCTGCCTCGTGCAAACGGGGCTCCCACGCCCACCCCGCTTCCTCCCTGTTATAATAAGTTTCTTTACTAAGTGGCTTGAAAATAGCACCGCGCAGTTCGTCTGAAGGAGACTGGGGACAAAATGGAGGGAGCAGCTAGCTGATGAACATGCGTCAGGACGTTGGTGTCCGCGGGGGGGGTGCGCAGGCGACGAGGTCTTCCGGCGTTCCAGAAAAATGGCTCTGCAGCGTGCATCTTTGATGTGAAGTGGTGGTCCACGTTTCGCTCCTCCCTACGACTGCGGCATAACGGGAAACAAAATACTGCGTATTGGCGAGCCCAGTCGAGAACGCGTGCGTGCAAGGTCGAGCCCATTTTCCAGCGATCAAAATAGTGCAATTCTTTCTAGTATTTAATTTTTCCCCTTCAACCTTATGCTTCCTTTATTTATGTACTTTTACATTTCACGTTTAGGCTAGGTGCATTTCGAAGGGCACTCCTGGGAGACTGGACTTGTAGAGTATGTCATTGTGCAAAGTCATGCTGCTTTGAATTATGCTACTCGCTGGCACACAGCACTCCATGTTAACGATGTTGAATTCATATTAGTACCGTTCATTGGGCGGTTTTTTTAATCCATAATGACCTGTCTTTCATGCCCATTTGATACCTTTGTACAATGCCAGTAAAATACACAGTGTATGATGTGTATTTATGTGTCAGAGTGAATGTTTTTAAAGTGAGGTTTTTTGTTTGTTTTTTGAAATTGGAGTTAGAATCTACATACTGCTCTACTGTTTGCTAGGGAAAAGAAAAAAGTCACCCTACTGGTGATACCCTGCCATTTCTGGATTCTCAGCTGAAATTCTAATGCTAACTATGCTTTGAACTCCAGGTCTGAAAGGTAGTGTTTAAGGTAGTTATATTCCATGAAGGAGTGAGGAATTCTTTTGAAGTCATTGCTGATTATGTTGTAAAAGGAAGGAAAACTGGAAAAGTACCAGGTAAAACACCACTGAGTCATCCTATTTTACGTTTTATTGTGACTTTAAAAAATTGCCAGAGTAGACACTGTAGGGGTCCATTTCATTTGTCTTTGAGAAGTATTTTCATATGGATGATTTTATTTTACTTTATTTTTTGAGACAGAGTCTCACTTTGTTGCCCAGACTGGACTGCAGTGGTGCGATCTCAGCTCCCTGCAACCTCTGCCTCCCGGGTTCAAGTGATTCACCTGCTTCAGCCTCCGAGTAGATGGGATTACAGGCACGTGCCACCACACCCTGGTAATGTTTTGTATTTTTTGTAGAGACGGGGTCTCTCCATGTTGGCCAGGCTGGCCTCAAACTCCTGACCTCACGTGATCCTCCCGATTCAGGCTTCCAAAGTCGTGGGATTACAGGCCTGAATCACCGTGCCTGGCCTATTTAAAAATTTTTATTTTCACAAAATTGCATAATACTTCCATTTTTAATTGTTTAACAGTTATAGAATGGAAAGTAAAAATGACTTCTTTCTCTCCTTTTTAAAGAATATATTACTAACAGTTTGATGTCTCTTTCGAAACTCTTCTTTTTCCTTCTTCTTAAAAAAAATTATTTGTAGAGACGTTGGGGGTGAGGGGGGCGGGTCTCACTATGTTGCCCAGGCTGGTCTCGAACTCCTGGACAGAAGTGATCCTCCTGTCTCACCGTCCAAAATTGATGAGATTACGGACATGCACTATGGAGCCTGGCTTTTTCTTTATTTTTTTTCTTTTTTTTTTTTGAGACAGAGTTTCACTCTTGTTGCCCAGGCTGGAGTGCAATGGAGTGATCAGCTCACCTCAACCTCTGCCTCCCAGGTTCAAGCGATTTTCCTGCCTCCGCCTCCCGAGTAGCTTGGATTATAAGCAGGCACCACCATGCCTGGCTAATTTTCTATTTTTAATAGAGACGGGGTTTCTCCCTGTTGGCCAGGCTGGTCTCAAACTCCCAACCTCAGGTGATCTGCCCACCTTGGCTTCCCAAAGTGCTGGGATTACAGTTGTGGCCACCATGCCCGGCTGGCTTTTTCTTAATTAAATATTATCACATGAATACATATATTTTGTCTTCATTAAAACAACATGGGAATACAATGGGTAGAAAATGAAAGGCTCTGTGTCACACTTGCCCTCACGCCTATGTGTACATGTACCTGTGTGTGATACATAGCTAAAACGACACTGCACTACATCATTTGCATTCAGTAATTTACTTTTTGCCCTATATCTGGGAATTTTTTTGATGTATGTACCACAAATTTACTCATTTATTTTAATGACTGCTTAGTAATCCTTTCACTATTTTCTTTGACTGTTGTTTCTGAAAGTTTCCATTTTTTGTTAATCCCCCAAAAGTGCTTCAGTAAGCATCTTTATGCATGCATATATATCTGTACATGTTCAAGTACTTCTGTAGGGTAAATATCTGGAAGTGGAATAACTGATTTAAAGGGGTATACAGAATTTAAAATGTAATACATACTGCTAATTTGTCCTCCAAAAAATACTGTCAATCTACAGTCCCCCATCAACTGTATGTGGGAGTTACCTTTTTCCTCCTCTTTTCAACACTCTGTATGTTCACATTTTTTAATTTGGGGGAGGGTGGGCATGATGGCTCACGCCTGTAATCCTCTTACAATTTGAGAGGCCAAGGCAAGAGGATCTCTTGAGGCCAGGAGCTTGAGACCAGCCTAGGCAAAAAAGTGAGACACCTCACCCCCAATCTCTGTCAAAAAAAAAAAAAAATTAGCAGGGCTCAGTGGCACGTGCCTGTAATCCCAGTTTTTGGGGTTGGTTTGGGGATGGCTGAGGCAGGAGGGAGCATCACTTGCGCCCAGAGCTTGAGGATGCAGTGAGCTATGATTGTGCCACTGCACTCCAGCTTGGGTGACGGAGCAAGACCCTGTCTCTAAGCTGAATCTGATGGGGTAAAATGGTAACTTACGCTCTAAACTTTTCCTGATTGCTAGTATGCCCGAGCAATCTTCCAAATATTTGTTACCATCCTTTCTCTGAGAATTAACTTTGTATAGCTTTTCTGTGTTTACAAATTTGGGGACAACACTTTGGGAGGGCAAGGTGGGCAGATCACTTGGGCAGATCACTTGAGACCAGAGACCCCATCTCTACTGAAAATACAAAAATTAGCCAGGTTGTGCTTGTGGGCGCCTGCGGTCCCATCTACTCAGGAGGCTGAGGCAGGAGAATTGCTTGAACCCCAGAGGTGGAGGTTGCAGTGAGCTGAGATGGTGCCCTTACACTCCAACCTGGGTGACAGAGTGGGACTTTGTCTCCAAATAAATAAATAAAATTGGTTATGTATGTGATTTTCTTGTTAAAGCAGCTCTTTACAATTATAGCTTTTAGTCCTTATATATATAATGAATATTTTCTGCACATTCACTTATTTGTTGTTTTTGTTTATGGTTTCTCAAGGATTTTAACTTTTTTTTCCTGGTAGGGTCAAATCTGTCACTGTTTCCTTTTATGGTGTTTGATCTTGTGCGTTGCTTGAGCGGGCATTCTTGATTCATAATGAAAACATGCTTTCACGACTTTGAAAATAATCATCCTAGAGTCCCCTTCTCATTCATGATTTTGAATATTTTTCTTCGAAAAAGACCAACTTTCTTTGAAAAAATCTCTTTTTTAATTTTAATTTTATATTTTACATTTTAAAAAGTTTACCTGATATATTCTGTTGTGTTTTTTTTTTTTAGCTTTTTGAATTGACTGCTTCATTCACTTATTCTCCATCTCTTTTGGTTTGTAGTGAATGGAGTTATGACCATAAAATTCCCTCTGAGAATCATTTTATCATTTGTTATATCAGATTATCATAAAGGTAATGTTCCCATTATTTCCTAAATTTTGTCTAATTTCACCTTTTATTTCACAAGTGAGTATGTTTGGGTGTGCTTTCGTTGTTCATTTCTAATTTTTGTTTTATTTTGTCTTACACTGTGACATGTTCATTTCTACTTTTGGGAGTTTATTGATTGTATATGAGGTGTGTGTGTGGTCTTACCTAAGAGATATTATTTCTGACCTGGTGTGGTAGCTCATGCCTGTAAGCCTAGCACTTTGGGAGGCTGAGGCCAGTGTATCACTTGAGGTCAGGAGTTTGAAACCAGCCTGGCCAATATGGTGAAACTCTGTCTCTACTAAAAATACAAAAAACATCAGCTGAACATGGTGACATGTGACTGTAATCCCAGCTACCCCGGAGGCTGAGGCACGAGAATCATTTGAACCCATGAGGCAGAGGTTGCAATGAGCCAAGATCACTCCACTGCACTCCAGCCTGGGCAGAGGGGGGAGGCCTCTGTATCAAAAAAAAAAGAGGGAGATTTTGTTCATGTTACATGGGGATTTGGAAAGAATGTGCATTCTCTATAATAGCATTAAACCAAGCTTATTGTAATATGTTGTATATTATAGTTATGTATAGATAACATAAAATATAAGAGCATTCAGTCAAGCTTATTATGCAGCCATCTTTGTATTGTAATCGTTTTTCATTGCAAGCAGCGGGCTCAACTTTAGTTCTCACGAACAAGAAAAAAAGTTCCTCTATTGGGAGGATGTGGAGAAACTTACTGAATTGAAGGGAAAGTCGAAGAGCCAGGTCTGGAAAAGGACAGCATCCTGGACAGGTCTAGGGCTCTAGATCGCAGGAACAAAACCAGTGGCTCTGCAGGATTCCCTGCTGGGACTCACGGCAGTCTGACGCCTGCTGTTGTGCTTTGCATTTTTACCGTGTTGTCTTGTGAGACTGACTCCCTGTGTGTCTGGTGGAGGATACAAGTTGTGATTCCAGGCCGGGCACAGTGGCTCACACCTGTAATCCCAGCACTCTGGGAGGTGGGTGGATCACCTGAAGTCAGGCGTTCAAGACCGGCATGGCCAACTTGGCAAAACTCTGTCTCTACTAAAAATACAAAAATTAGCTGGGCGTGGTGGCATGTGCCTGTAATTTCAGCTACTCCGAAGGCTGAGACAGGAGAATAACTTGAAGCTGAGAGATGGAGGTTGCAGTGAGCCGAGATCGCACCACTGCACTCCAGCCGGGGCAACAGAGCAAGACTGTCTCAAAAAAAAAAAGTTATGATTCCAGAAGCCTGGAGTGAGGTGGTCACGTAGCTTAGTGGTGGGGCAGAGTCAGAAAAACTCTTTTCTTAAAGGGATTCCTGACTCCCTGCTGGCTGAAAGCCTCCTGGAGCAGTGTCAGGAATCCTATCCTAGAGAGCTGTGGTTATCTGCAGGTTACAGGATGGGCGGAAGGGAAATAGGGATGCCACTTTAGGGCTTTGGGATGGGGGCCCTGCTGGCAAAACTTACTTTTTGAGGTTCCTCTGGCTTGTGTGGGGTTGTTTTTAGTCAGGTATGTTGAGTTTAGAAATCAATGTGATTCCAAGCATCTTATACTCAGAAAACTTTAACTGTTTTGGTTTGTTGCTGCTGCATTATCCTGGCTTCCTGGCAGTTATCAGCTTATATATATATATGCATTTATATACATAATTAATAATTGTATACTTATATCAATTTTTATATAATAAATATATGTATAAATATATATATTTTTTCTTTTTGAGACAGGTCTTGCTCTGTTGCTCAGGCTGGAGTGCAGTGGTGCGATCTCGGCTCACTGCAGTCTCTTCCTCCTGGGCTCAGGTGATCCTCCCACCTTAGCCTCCTGAATAGCTAGGACTACAGGCACACGTCACCATGCCCAGTCTAGAGAAGGGTTTTGCCATGTTGCCCAGGCTGGTCTCAAACTGCTGAGCTCAAGTGATCCACATGCCTCGCCTTCCCAAAGTGCTAGGTTACAGGCTTCAGCCACGATGCCAGGTCTTCTATATTCCTTTTGTCATTTCAGTAGGTTTTGGAGGAAAGAGTGATAAAAGTTTGTGTTCAGTCATCTTCTATAACCAGAAGTCCGCCTAAGTAGTATTTGTCTATGTGTCTACTAGCACGAGTGTGTGCCTGTGTGTAAGTCTAATAGTACTACAGGACTTATAAAGAAAACCAGCTGGCTGGGCGCGGTAGCTCACGACTGTAATGCTAGCACTTTGGGAGGCCAAGGCAGGTGGATCACTTGAGGCCAGGAGTTCGAGACCAACTTGGCCAACATGGTGAAACCCCATCTCTTACTATAAATACCAAAATTAGCTGGGCATGGTGGCGGGCACCTGTAATTCCAGCTACTCAGGAGGATAAGACAGGAGAAGCACTTGAACCTGGAAGACGGAGGTTGCAGTGAGCCAAGATTGTGCCACTGCACTCCAACCTGGATGACAGAGCAAGACTCTGTCTCAAAAAAAAAAAAAAGCCAGCCGTTTTCTGTCTGCATGTGTCTCACCTCGAGTTCTGCACCATGCAGGTAACAACTTTGATCTCTTTCAGCCCTTCTGCCAGTTTACCTTCATATTTCTAAATAAATGTTCATTCTGTGATTTCTTTATTTTTTTCATTTGAGGCGTTATCTATTGATAATGAATATGTAGCTCCCTTTTCTGCCCCCTTCTCTACCCTCATCCTGTCTGTGGTTACGTCACATTTAAATAAGTCACACCAGCATTCAGAGTGTGCATTGTTGTGATGGTGTAAATATTGCTCATGGCTGAGCCATGCACAGTACTATGATTTCATTTCTTGCAAAACTTTTTATTATTCCTGGCGTTAGTAACTGTTTTGTTGATTTGTTTAATTTTGTTGAAGCCAGCTCTTACTGGCTCCTGAGAGCCGGTTTTGGGCAGCCCTTGCCAACTCTGCATTCCAAAGTTGGTCGTTTGAAATCAGCTACGGTGGAAGTATTTATGCCACAGAAATGAATCAGTGCTACAAATCAGGGCCTCTCGTTTTTTGGGCGTTTTGTTGTTATTTTTCGGAGACATAGTTTACCAATACACCACTGAATGTACCTATCCATTTTTCCTTGGAAATTCTCTCACAGAGTTATAAAACTCTTCACAATGTGGTCAAATGTATCATGTGATCCACCTGTCAGTATTTTTTCTTGGAAACATCTCCTCTGGAGTTTCTCTCCTACTCCAGTCTCTGATGGCTGCTTTCTTCTCTCTCTTTCTTTCTCTCTCTTTCTGTCTCTCTTGCTCTCTCTCATTCTCTCTGTCTCTCTTGACAAAGTTTCCCTCTTGTTGCCCGGGCTGGAGTGCAATGGTGCAACCTCGGCTCACTGCAACCTCCACCTCCCAAGTTCAAGCGATTCTCTTGCCTCAGTCTCCCTAGTGGCTGGGATTACAGGTGAGTGACATGACGCCCAGTGAATTTTTGTGTTAGTAGAGATGGGGTTTTACCATGTTAGTCAAGACTGGTTTCGAACTCCTGACCTCAGATGATCCACGTGCCTTGGCCTCCCAAAGGTCTGGGATTACAGGTATGAGCCACCACTCCCGGCTGACGGCTGCTTTCTAAGACTGATTCCCACTTGTTGTCCTGGAGGTTTTTGTAAACTCATGCTGAATCACCTGCCCCTGCATTCCACACCTTTCTCTTTCTTTGTTTACGCTTTTATTTTGGAGAAGAGTATCTTTCAGTAACTTCCTGGAAAAGGGTTGCAGAGAAGGTAAATATTTTAAGATCTCATATGCCCCAAAATATTTTTGCTCCTTTCAACTTCAGTACCTGGTTAAACTGCATTTCTAGAATTATTCTCCACTAGAGTGACTGCCCCTCCTAGATGTAAAGCAATTTCCTACATAACCGTAATGCTGTTATCACAGCTAAGAAAACTAGCAGTAATTCCAGAATACCATCTAGAATGTAGTACACATTCATAGTTCCCCAACTGTTCAAAGAAATTTTCCCAATCTTTCGTTGTTTTTAAACAAGGATCTAATGCTGCCTATGGTTGCTGTATCTCTAGGTTTCCTTAGTCTAGGACAATCTCCCCATATTTATTTATTTATTTTTTTTTTGAGACGGATTCTTGCTGTGTTGCTAGGCTGGAGTACAATAGTGTGATCTCGGCTCACTGCAACCTCCACCTCCTGGGTTCAAGCGATTCTTCTGCCTCGGACTCCCAAGTAGCTAAGATTACAGACATGCGCCACCAAGCCCAGCTAATTTTTGTATTTTTAGTAGAGATGGGGTTTTGCCATGTTGGCCAGGCTGGTCTTGAACTCTTGACCTCAGGTGATCCGCCCGCCTCCACCTCCCAAAGTGCTAGGATTACAGGTGTGAACCACCTCGCCTTGCCCTTATTATTATTTTTTTTTGTGACACTGATTTTTTAGAAAATCTAAGGCAATTGTCCTGTAAAATGTCCCACATTCTGGATTGTCTCTTGCTGTCATTTAACTTGTCTATCTACCATCCCTTTCTTTCCTCTAAACTGGAAGTTAAGTCTCCGGCTGCCTAATTCAATATCAGAGCCACAAGCCTCATGTAGCTCTTGAGCCCCTGCAATGTGGTGAATAGAGCTGAGGAACTGAGTTTAAATTTCATTTCATTTTAGTTAATTTGAATTTAAACTGAAAAGCTGACAATTCAGTGACTGGAAAAATGTAAGTCTATGTGGAACAACTTGGAGCTACATTTTCAATTGAAATTTTATGAAAGCTAAATACAGATCAAGTATTTCCAATGAAAATTTAGCATCTGAATTGAAATGTGCTTAAAGCATAAACATACATGCTGAGAATACATGACTCAGTACAAAAAAAGAATATAATGGCCAGACCAATTCTGTTGAAATTCTTGCATAGAGTAAAAAAAAAAAAAAAAAAAAAAAGGATATAAAATATTAATTTTAAAATATGGATTACATGTTGTAATACTAATGTTTTGGATACACTGGGCTAAAGTATGTTTTTAAGTTAATTTCACCCATGGGCTTTTGTTGTTTTGTTTTTACTTTCCAAAGGCAGTTACCAGAAAATCTTAAATGATGTAAGTGGCTCACATAAATTTGTATTGACGTGTGTGGGTCTAGCAGCCCAACTCAATTTAGGTTAAACATTTCAGACAAGAACACTTCTAGATGATGTATTTAAAAATGCATCACGTTGAACGGCACATATGTCAGATTGTGCTACCATTAGCGATGCTAGCTTTGATCACTGGGTTAAGATAGAAACTGTCAGGACTCGCCATTGTGAAGATACATGCCTCCCTTGCAATCACAAATCCATGCAAATATTCTGTTACCAAAAATCTGTTCACCTAATGGTTTAAGCATTTTTTGAAGATTCTTGCCTGAATCATCGATTACACGGGGGGTTACCGAATGCTGCCAGGCGTGGTGGCTCACACCTGTAATCCTAGCACTTTGGGAGGCCGAGGCGGGTGGATGACTTGAGGTCAGGAGTTCAAGACCAGCCTAACATGGGGAAACCCCATCTCTCCTAAGAATATAAAAATTAGCCAGGTGTGGTGATGCACACCTGTAATCCCAGTTACTAACAAGGCTGAGGAAGGAGAATCGCCTGAGCCCAGGAGGTGGAGGTTGTAAGCTGAGATTGCACCACTGCACTCCAGCCTGCACGACAGAGCGAGACTCCATCTCGAAACAAATAAACAAACAAACAAAAAAATGGTGACATTCTGTCAATACACTTACTACCTAGCATTCGTCTATAAAGAACTCCCTCCTCCCTTTCCATATACATATATCTTTGTATGAAATATTTATTATTTAATGTGTTTTAATTCATTACAGTTACTCTTTTTGATACCCAAAGCCTTTCCTTGAACATTCTGTGGCCATTTCTTCAAGGAACTCTTGTTTGTTTCAGTGGGGATTAAGTTGCTTCTTAAAACCACTTGAGATACATTTTTTTTAAGCCAGGCACAGTGGCTCACACCTGTAATCCCAGCACTTTGGGAGGCCAATGCGGGCGGATCACTTGAAGTCAGTAGTTCAAGACCAGCCTGGCCAACAAGATGAAATCTCGTCTCCACTAAAAATACAAAAATTAGTCGGTTGTGGTGGTGCGTGCCTGTAATCCCAGCTACTTGGGAGGCTAAGGCAGGAGAATTGCTTAAACCTGAGAGGTGGAGGCTGCAGTAAGCCAAGATCATATCACTGTGCTCAAGGCTGGGCGACAGAGCGAAACCATCTCAAAAACAAACAAAAAAACAAAAGAAAAAACCATTGATACAATTTTATTAAAGATAGTCACTAATGCTTTGTATATACATGCCAGCTCTATCTACATTGCTGATCCTAGAATCAAAGCATTACACCTTATTTTCCAGCCATTATTTTCTTCAATGCATATTAAAGCTATATCTTGGCTGGCCGTAGGTTTCATATCTGCAAAACTGAGGTTATAATACCTCTCTGAAAATGAGGACAAGAAATAGAATATGCAGAGTTCTGGGCTCATTCTTGTTACTGTCGGCTACTCTATCTCCCTGGAGGCCAGGGCTGGGGAAGCCTCTGCTCCCTCATGATCATCAACATCACCCCAATTCCCAGCTCTTTTTTTTTTTTTTTAAATTTTAGTTGTCTCTGACAGAGATACCCTGTCTCAAAAGAAAAAAAAAAAAAAGTGGCATGTTCCGTGGCTGTATGAGGGTCGTTAGTCAAATTTTTTCTGACTTATATCCATATGAATTTGTGATTAGTTGTCTCGAAATGCATAGAAATTACTCATATTTCTAATACATCTATTAAACACTGATGAAAGGATACTTATTAACTTTTTTTTTTTTTTTTTTTTTTTGAGACAGAGTCTCATCTGTCGCCCAGGCTGGAGTGCAGTGGCCTGATCTTGGCTCACTGCAACCTCCACCCCCCGGGCTCAAGCTAGCCTCCTACCTCAGCCTCCTGAGTAGCTGGAATTACAGGTGCACACCACTACACCCAGCTAATATTTGTATTTTTAGTAGAGACAGGGTTTCACCATGTTGGCCAGGCTGATCTCAAACTCCTGATTTCAGGTAATCTGCCTGCCTTGGCCTCCCAAAGTGCTGGGATTACAAGCTGAGGTACCTCATCCAGCCCGGAATACTCAATAACTTTTTAAGTCATGAATATTTAAGGACTTTGACATAACTCCTTTTGCAAATTTGAAAATTATTTTTTCCCAGCTAAACCAATATACATTTACATTTAGTTTATTTGTGTATATAAAAACATGCACATTTTATCTGGGTGTCGTGATGCACACCTGTAATCCCAGCTGTTCAGATGGCTGAGGTGGGAGAATCGCTTAAGCCTGGGAAGTGGAGGTTGCAGTGAGCTGAGACTGCGCCATTGCACTCCCACCTGGGTGATAAAGCAAGACTTTTTCTCCAACAAAAACAAAAAACAGTCTGATATTCACTAGTTGAATAATTGCATAACCTTAAGCAAATCTCTTAAGGTCCCTAACTCAACATCACCCTGTGAGGGACAGACTCTAATACCTCATTTTACAGAGGAGGGAACAGACCCAGTGAGGTCCAGTGACTGGATTAAGGTGACAGAGGTGGAGAGCTGAGGTGCAACAGTGGGTTCAAGGTGCTGGCAAGAAGTCCCCCAGCTCCCAGCCCCTCAGTGGCCCTCACCACCTGCCATCTCAAACAATGGTATGTAAACCCCAGTGTTAATACAATGTAAGGTACTACTTTTCTTTTTTTTTTTTTTTTTTTTTTTGAGATGGAGTTTGCTCTTGTTGCTCAGGCTGGAGTGCAGTGGCACGATCTCAGCTCACTGCAACCTCCGCCTCCTGGGTTCAAGTGATTCTCCTGCCCTAGCCTCCCGAGTAGCTGAGGCTACAGGTGCGTGCCACATGCTCGGGTCGGGTAATTTTTTTTTTTTTTTTTTTTTAAATCAGCTTTAATTAGGTACAATTTACATAAAACAATTTTCACATTAAAAGTGTAGATTGAAGGCTTTTGACAACAGTTTATATTCTTAGTAGAGACGGGGTTTCACTATGTTGGCCAGGCTGGTCTCGAACTCCTGACCTTGTGATCCGCCTGACTCAGCCTCCCAAAGTGCTGGGATTACAGGCATGAGCCACCATGCCTGTAATCCTTTTGTCACTAGGGTTAACATTTTTAATGTTATTATTTCAAAATGGAGTTTTCCTCTAAAATATGTGGTTTTCAAAAAGTTTGTTGAAATCATCAAGGATGCTTTTATTCATATAGGGACTTTTTTTTTTTTGGTCAAAACTTAGGTCTAATTTTAAATTGAAAGTGAATTGAAAAAGAGAATTTTAAGTGGACTTTTTTTATTGCATTTTAGGTTTTGGGGTACATGTGAAGAACATGCAAAATTGTTGCATAGGTACACACGTGGCAGTGTGATTTGCTGCCTTCCTCCTCTTCACCTATATCTGGCATTTCTCCCCATGCTATCTCTCCCCAACTCCCCACCCCCTGCTGTCCCTCCCCTATTTCCCCCCAACAGACCCCAGTGTGTGATGCTCCCCTCCCTGTGTCCATGTGTTCTCATTGTTCAACACCTGCCTATGAGTGAGAACATGTGGTGTTTGATTTTCTGCTCTTGTGTCAGTTTGCTGGGAATGATGGTTTCCAAGTTCATCCATGTCCCTACAAAGGACACGAACTCATCGTTTTTGTTGGCTGCATAATATTCCATGGTGTATATGTGCCACATTTTCCCTGTCCAGTCTATCATCGATGGGCATTTGGGCTGGTTCCAGGTCTTTGCTATTGTAAACTGTGCTGCAATGAACATTCGTGTGCATGTGTCCTTATAGTAGAACGATTTATAATCCTTTGGATATATACCCAGTAATGGGATTGCTGGGTCAAATGGAATTTCTATTTCTAGCTCCTTGAGGAATTGCCACACTGTCTTCCATAATGGTTGAACTAATTTACACTCCCACCAACAGTGTAAAAGTGTTCCTATTTCTCCACATCCTCTCCAGCATCTGTTGTCTCCCGATTTTTTAATGATTGTCATTCTAACTGGCGTGAGATGGTATCTCAATGTAGTTTTGATTTGCATTTCTCTAGTGACCAGTGATGATGAACATTTTTTCATATGTTTGTTGGCATCATGTATGTCCTCTTTTGTAAAGTGTCTGTTTATATCCTTTGCCCACTTTTGAATGGGTTTATTTTTTTTTTCTTGTAAATCTGTTTTAGCTCTTTGTAAATTCTGGATATCAGCCCTTTGTCAGATGGGTAAACTGCAAAAAATTTTTCCCATTCTGTTGGTTGCCGATTCACTCTAATGATTGTTTCTTTTGCTGTGCAGAAGCTGTGGAGTTTGATTAGGTCCCGTTTGTCTATTTTGGCTTTTTTTGCCCATGCTTTTGGTGTTTTGGTCATGAAGTCCTTGCCTACGCCTATGTCCTGAATGGTTTTGCCTAGATGTTCTTCTAGGGTTTTTATGGTGTTAGGTCTTATGTTTAAGTCTTTAATCCATCTGGAGTTAATTTTAGTGTAAGGTGTCAGGAGGGGGTCCAGTTTCTGCTTTCTGCACATGGCTAGCCAGCTTTCCCAACATCCCTTATTAAACAGGGAATCCTTTCCCCATTGCTTGTTTTTGTCAGGTTTGTCAAAGATTGGATGGTTGTAGATATGTTGTGTTGCCTCCGAGGCCTCTGTTCTGTTCCATTGGCCTATATCTCTGTTTTGGTACCAGTACCATGCTGTTTTGATTACTGTAGCGTTGTAGTATAGTTTGAAGTCTGGTAGTGTGATGCCTCCCACTTTGTTCTTTTTGTTTAGAATTGACTTAGCTATGTGGGCTCTCTTTTGGTTCCATATGAAGTTTAAGGTGTTTTTTTCCAGTTCTGTGAAGAAGGTCATTGGTAGCTTGATGGGGATAGTGTTGAATCTGTAAATTACTTTGGGCAGTATGGCCATTTTCACGATATTGATTCTTCCTAACCATGAACATGGAATTTTTCTCCATCTGTTTGTGTCCTCTCTTATTTCGTTGAGCAGTGGTTTGTAGTTCTCCTTGAAGAGGTCCTTTATGTTCCTTGTTAGTTGTAGTCCAAGGTATTTTATTCTCTTTGTAGCAATTGTGAATGGCAGTTCATTCTTGATTTGGCTCTCTTTAAGTCTGTTATTGGTGTATAGGAATGCTTGTGATTTTTGCACATTGATTTTGTATCCTGAGACTTTGCTGAAGTTGCTTATCAGTTTCAGGAGATTTTGGGCTGAGACGATGGGGTCTTCTAGATATACAATCATGTCGTCTGCAAATACAGACAATTTGACTTCCTCCTTTCCTATTTGAATACCCTTTATTTCTTTTTCTTGCCTGATTGCTCTTCCTAGAACTTCCAGTACTATACTGAATAGGAGTGGTGAGAGAGGGCATCCTTGTCTAGTGCCAGATTTCAAAGGGAATGCTTCCAGTTTTTGCCATTCAGTATGATATTGGCTGTTGGTTTGTCATAAATAGCTTTTATTATTTTGAGATACATTCCGTGAGGGTTTTTAGCATAAAGGGCTGTTGAATTTTGTCAAAGGCCTTCTCTGCATCAATTGAGGTAATCATGTGGTTTTTTGTCTTTGGCTCTGTTTATGTGGTGAATTACATTTATAGACTTGCGTATGTTGAACCAGGCTTGCATCCCTGGGATGAAGCCTACTTGATCATGGTGGATAAGCTTTTTGATGTGCTGTTGCAATTGGCTTGCCAGTATTTTATTGAAGATTTTTGCATCTATGTTCATCATGGATATTGGCCTGAAGTTTTCTTCTCTTGTTGAGTCTTTGCAGGGTTTTGGCATCAGGATGATGTGGGTCTCATAAAATGATTTGGGAAGGATTCCCTCTTTTTGGATTATTTGGAATAGTTTCAGAAGGAGTGGTACCAGCTCCTCTTTGTATGTCTGGTGGAATTCAGCTGTGAACCCATCTGGACCTGGGCTTTTTTTGGTTGGTAGGCTCTTAATTGCTACCTCAACTTCAGACCTTGTTATTGGTCTATTCAGGGTTTCGACTTCTTCCTGGTTTAGGCTTGGGAGAAGGCAAGTGTCCAGGAATTTATCCATTTCTTCCAGGTTTACTAGTTTATGTGCATAGAGTTGTTTGTAATAATCTCTGATGATGGTTTGAATTTCTGTGGAATCTGTGGT